CATGGTATAGTTTGACCATGAAAATTCATACTTTTTGACACTTTGAAAAATGTCAAAAATTTTGAATTCATGAACAGTGACTTGTTCATTATTCTTGACAATGTTTGGTTTAAAAACTTGACTTTCGCCTAATTGATTTTCATAATTATTTGACAAAGTGGGCTGTTTTTCCATATTAACTATTAATGGCTTATGAAAATCCCCCATATGTAGTTATTTTCATGACTTGACTCTAAAAATTAGTTTTTGGACCCCCCGAGCCATGTATGGAACATCATTCTTAACCAAATTTGGCCCAAGAACATCCTTTTTTGTTATGTTAATTTCATAATTTGGTTCTTTAAAAAAGGATCTTGAACCCCCCGAGCTACTGATAAAATTATATTTTTACTAATTTCAGTCACAAATGACTTGAAAACATTTTGTAAAACCCTACAAAATTCAGTCATTGAAGACTTGACAAGAAGGGTTGATAACTCATGTTTCCATTGGCAAATTTTCATATCAAGTTGATGAATTACTCCAATTAAGTGGTGCATTTTTTCTTTTACCAAACAATATTGTAATAGATGGAAGTTTGTTTCATCAAGAAAATGATTTTTTCTTGAAGATCCAAACTTTTTTGTTTATGCCAAAAGATTTCATCTAAGCTATTTGGAATGAATGAATCCAATTCAATTTTCATTTTGTTAGGTTTTTGTTATTGGCAATCCTTTTTAACAAGACTCATTTCAGTTGTAATTTTATTCGATCTTTTATCTAAGTGAGGCTATGAGTATTTAAATGTGAATCCAACCCGAATTGTGCCTATACAGAGGGGTTTGTGATCTTGATCCTAGCATGGTTGCCACTTCACTGACTCAGTCGGGGATCGAGCAAAAAATAAAATTGCAATCAAAGTTGTTTGACTGCCCGAGCAATTGATTGTGCGCTCGAGCAAAGATGCAATCATTTTAGAAGTTTCATTCGCTTGCAAAAGTACTGGGAGTTGCATTTTTACGTTCGAGCCACTTTTCTTGCGCTCGAGCATAGATCATTGTTCTAAAACACACATTTTAGTCAGTTCGTTCAAGCTGAGATCGCGATTCTGTTTTCTATAAATCTGTGATTAATTTAGTTTCTAGGGTACACCTTTCAGATATTTTTTCTTGGGTATTAGGATTTTCATCTAGGGTTTTTTTGTTTGTTTCCTTTGATATCTGTGAAAGTTTATATCATGAATTAAGTAGATTATATCAAAGAGTTTGTTTATTTTGTTTTATTCACAAAAGAGAGAGTTGTTCTTTGGTGGATTCCGTAAAATTTGGGCTGAAGCTTTAGTGGATTCCGGAGTGGTTCATTGTTGTGGATTCGACATAGGCGTTGTAGATTCAACGTTGGGCAAGACAATTCCGAGGTGAAGACGGTGGTGGAAGAGACATATAGGGGTAAGTTCAATTCAAGCGTGGATTTGCTAGGTAATTGAGAGTACTCGTGTGTAATTTCTTTTTGTCTTCTTAATAGATTGTTTTGTGACTTTTGCTTGTGATTTTTTTAATCACAATTGGAGGCGCTCCAATTATAGGTTTTTCACGTTAAATAATTGTGTTGATTTGTCTTTGATTTTTTTTTATTGGGATTGCTATTTATTGCTTAAACTTGATACATAATCACAAATCAATATCTCAAGAATTTTTAGATTTTTCACATTTATTACATTTGATGTCCACTGGGTGTGCCAAAATTGTTGGCTTATTTCTCCTACGAAGGAAAATATCATAAATGCGAGCGTGTCAGCAAATATTGAAAAATCTTTACAGATTAAATTCAAGTCAATTATCAAGCGATTATGTTGATGGTTCTTTTGCCTCAATGAAGAGAACTTCAAAATTACCAAGTGTAGAGAAAATAAAAATTAACAGAAGAAGGGAGACTAAGAAAGATGATTGAGTAAACAATCGGGATAATTGAGTGAACAATCAAAGTAACAATTACTTATCTCTACTCCTATGCTTTAAAAAGGAAGTGCATATAATGTTTTGAAAATGAAGTGCTGAAAATAAATGCTTCGAAAAGGAAGTGCGTAAAATAAAATGTTGGAAATATAATGATAAGAAAAATAGAAATTAATTGTCTTTGATTTGAGTTTTGGATCACTTACAATGTAGCAATGAATGATTATTTACAAACGAATATTTGTAGAAAAAACTGCTTAAAACTATCTACTCTTCCACCTTATCCATTTCATACTTTATGGTCTTCCATAATTTCATTCAACCTCCGCTTTATGCTCCATATTCTCTATTTTGTTCTCCATCAGCTTTTTATATTTCACAACTTCTCATAACCTCCAAATGAGTAGAAAAATACCACATATTTTACAATTATATAAATGATAAATAATAAAATTACAAATTTATGGTGCTGCAGCCTCGAAAGAATCCTCCTTTTCTTATCCCTACCTATCTCTTTGTAGAATAATGCCAGAGTTGAGATAAGTTTAGTAATTAAGTCGCAGTTAATTAGGGCATCGACTTTGTCTCTCTTTTTTGTAGTTGGGATATCTCTCAAGTCTTGAGCATCTTCTGACAGCCCATCCTTCAATTCAAATTTATTTTTATTTATTTTTAACTTTGAATTAACATTGCTTCACTTTAAGTTGGTGGATGGTGATCTTGGTTTTAAATTTTCGGGAAAATTGAATTTTAGTAAAGTAGTAGCAAAAAATTATATTTTTATGATGGTACAATTAGTGACGGAATCAGAAATTTAAGATAGAGAGGCAGATATGACTCACATCATTGAAAAAAAAAAAATCCATAATAAACAACAATGAGATACTATTAAATTTACATGTTTTTTTTTTTTGGACTGTTGTTGAGATTCAATATTATATAATTATCATGATAATTATTTCAATACAGCTTAGAAATCCACAATTAACAACCCAATTGAATTTATGATTAACAAATTCAACACTATCAACTGCTTAGAAATCCACAATTAACAACCCAATTGAATTTATGATTAACAAATTCAACACTATCAACTCAATAAAAAAAACCCACAATGAAGAAAAACAATCAACTAAACAAATCTCATAATAAGAAAGAAATGTTCAATTAATTTAATTCTTACCATCAACTTTCTAGTTTGAAGTATAAAAGAATGACCAAACAAAATATAATAGAGAATTTTTAAAATTTTGAAATACAAAAGAATTTTACATGATTTAAGAAGGGATACTATTATAATTTTATAAAGGACAAATAAGATAGAAACTTCATATATAAAAGAAATAGTATAAATATAAAAAACTCAGGGAGTGTAGGTGACCCTCCTAGTCTCAATGTGGCTCCACCTCTGGGTGCGACTCTCCTATATGTATGGTGCAAATTTATTCCTGTGCTTGGTACTGTTTTTCTTATGTGTTAGAATTACACCAAAAAAAATTCTCATTTGTAGTGCAATTATTTTGTTATTGTTTCGTCTATTTTTCAATTTCTCCTAAATTTTATACTTCCAATATCAACATTTACGGAGATACAAATTAATATTGTCCAATACTGTTATTTAAAATTATAATGATTATTGAGTAAAATTTTTCAATCGAATTAAGCAATGGATGGGTATTGATCTTCCAAACTAATGTTCTTATTTTGTTAGATTACCTCACTTTCTATATGTGATTAAGGTGACTTTTTAGGATGTTATTAGGCAGTGCTTAGATTATGTATTTATTTATTTTAGCACTGTTAGTTATGGATATTTATTTATAATGATATTACTGTAATTTTTAGTAAGATTATGAATATCTTAATAACGTATTAATGAAATAGTGCCTTGGTCAAATCTAAAAATAATAAAAATAATAATAATAATAAAAATAGTGCCGTGGTAGAGTTTTTTTTTTTTTTGGGTGAATACCTTGGTAGAGTTATTATGAAGCAACGCTTATTAACCTTTTAAAAAAAAAGAAGAAGTAATACTAAAATTCGATGATTCATCTACAAGTGATAAGACATCATTTAATGTATTTTAATTTTAATTATATAAAAAAGAGAGGAAATTAAAAAAAAGCCATTATTCTTTTGCAAACTGACAAATGAATTAATATTTACCATACAAATTTACCACGTATTAAAATTTAATATGATTATTATTTCTTAAAATATAATTTGAGAAGAGTAAATGTATGCAACTTTATCTGATTTCTACAAAATCGTTTCCACAATTAAACACATGGCATCAAAACGCTACAGACAATTGTTATCGTTAAGACGTTATAGACAGTTGTTACCGTTAAGCCATTATAGACGGTTGTTTACTGTTGGGCCAAGTCTATCCGGCATCAAAACGCTACAGATAATTGTTATCGTTAAGGTGTTATAGGCAGTTGTAACCGCTAAGTTGTTATAGATGGTTGTTTACCGTTGGGCCAAGTCATAAATAAAGTTAGATATCATGTTTTTTGTTTTTGTTTTTTTGGAACTAAGGCTTTGTTTGGCTAAATTGGTCAGACTAAAAAGACACAAAAGAGAAAATAGGTTAAATGAGTTAATAAAACAAAATGTCATATTTAAATCATAATTATTTCACTTCTTCTCTCACAAAAGTTAAAAAAATTTGTCAAATGAAAATTTTAGTCCCAAGCTAAAAAAGTCTCAATTTCAAAAAGCCAACTAATTTTTTTTTTTAAAAACCATGTTTGACTTTAAAAATTGTTAGGTAGTGTCAGGCGTTAAACAAATAAAAATCACAAAAGGCACCAAGTGAGTCATTTATTATTTTTTAATTACCTAACAAAATTAGCCATAATTTTTTTTTTTTGTTTTTTGTTTTTTTGTTATGCACATAATATTTCGAGACTAGTTTGACTTTGGCGTGGGGCTGAGGTGCTTAACTGCTGTAGTGTTACTCAAATAGTATATAGTGGAGTATTGTTTCCTTAATTCAATCACTGCTCTACTCTCTCCTCCATCTTCTTCTACTTCTTTCTCTCTCCTTGAAAAATTATCAAAATGGAGGAGACAGCTCCTGAGAGTAGTGCTGGATTGAGAATTGTTGAGAAATATGTCTACAAATGTAATTGGTGTCCGAGAAAATTTACGACCTGCCAAGGTTTGGCTGGACACATGAATGCCCACCGATCTGACGTTCGATACGTAAAAGGATGCTCTCATGTGCGTATACCGTACTATCGACAACCCTCGGCAACCGTCCCATCAACTTTTCCAGTGACTTTCAGGCCACCCTCTGTTGCGCCGAGGCTCGACTACATGCCTGCACCCATGCCTGCAACTATATTCACGCATGCCCCAGCTTCTGTTGCTGTCCACCCAAGTTTTGCTCGTTTAGGTCATGCACCCTTACCCACCATTCCACCTAGAGTTAGGGTTGTGAGGCCTCGACTTGTGAATCGGAATCATGGGTTTGTTAGGGCTTTTCAAGGCTTAGAGCGCTCATCGGAAACAACAATGACTGATCCGAAAGCTGGGGTTGCTGCACAGAGAGGTGAGGAAGAAGAGGTCACTTCCAAGGAGACCGTCGTGGTGGATCTCGAATTAACGCTTGGTCGTTAAAGCGGGGTTTTTTTTTTTTTTTAATCGACAAAAAAGAAATAAATTTATTGATGTAAATGAAAGAGTACATCTGAAGTACATCAATAAAACATGTAATTTCCAATTATGTGAATCTGAAGTTTGGAATTCAAAACCTAGATATTATGCTATTCTTTTTTTTAAATTTTATTTTATTTTATTTTGATTATGTCATCTTTTTGATTTTTGATATAAGAACAAAGGTATAAAATGTTTTGAGGATTGTAGAAATTGGGACTTGAAAAATATCGACATATCAGTCTTTTCATGTAAGGAATGTTTTGGTAATGAATTAATTACCAACATATCAGTCCCGGATGACTACTGCTATGTTAATAAATTAATCGTGGACCTGCTGGCTCTTTGTGTTGTTCACTTGGTGTGAGGGTGCTGCTTTTGGACCTGTTTCGGGTTTTGAGTTGTTTGTTTTCCTTTGTTTATTTCGGTTGGCCTCTCACCATCTTCTTTGGCTTGAGCTAGTATATAATTAGGTACTCTTCTTGATGTCAATCTAATTGGAATTAGGAAGTGGTACTATAATGCTTTTTACTCTCGTTTTGCGCTGTTGATGTTTATGCATATGTATGTATGTTTATTTTTTCATCTATGAAGTTGTTCTCTGTTATTGAATAAAAAAAAAAAAAAATGTTTTGGTACACGATATCCAAGATAGACCCATGATTCTAATCTTGGAGACCAATTTTTATGCAATTACCAAAATTTGAACAATTAATGTATCACCAAAAAAATAGATTGGGTATTAAATTTTGTTGGACTACAAGGAGGATACGTAATTTTATTTTGTTAGGAATCAAGCGATTTCATACTGATAATGTTTTGCTCCCAATTCTTGTTGCCTGTAGATAATATCTTCGAGAGTCACCTATTTGTTTTTTAGCAAACAAATTCCGTGTGATAAAATTCTGAAAAGGTATAAAATAGCATGAATTATTAAAACAGATAAAGTTATATGTGATTCTTGTATCTCTAAGGTACACATGGTTGCTTTAATCCGTGAAAAATATTGTTACACTTTCCGAACAATGTTTTACTCCAAATTAGGCAACAAGAAGTTCTTGTTGCTCTTAGACGTGGTGTGTTCAAGAGTTAGCGTTGTGTTTTCTAGCATGCAAAATTCACATGATAAAACTTTAAAAAGGTATAAAAAGCTTGAATTATTAAAACAAAAAAAAGCTATCAGCGGCTGTGGCATCTTTAAGGCACACATGGTTGCCTAAGACGTGCAACGTTCAGGGAAAAATTTCAATCGATAAACTTGAAGAAATATATATGCTTGTATGTGGCATAATTTCGATATGATAAATTTAGAGATACCTTTCAAAAACTACCAAATTCCAGTGACAAATATCCATCCACATGTTGTGACATATATTTAATGATTCATGATACACTTAGAGATTTGAAAAGTACATGATCAAGAGTAAATATCGTTACAATAGACGACAAACTAGTATATTAATTTCATTCCAAGTATTGGATAAAATTCACTATAATTTACAAGTTATGACAAATTTAGAGCTCATTGAAGTGAACTATTTATCAATTAAAAGAATTGATTAAACTTGAAAAAAATGTACAATAAACCTGTAAAGAGGGTTGATAAATAGCACAAAGTACTAAAACACAAAATTTCACTAGCATTTGTGGCATATCTATGGTACATGTGGTTTCCTTAAGACGTGCCATGTTAGGGGCACCACGAAAGCCTCTATATGATTAAGCAAGTTCTTATATGCAAAATTTATTTCATTCCACATACTTGAAGATATATACGATTGTATGTAGAATATATCGAATAACTTCAATATGAAAAGCTTATAGATACCTTAAAATATATTCAACCACATTTTTTGACATATATTTAGTTATTTTATATCCTTTTTTGCCGATCAAAAAAAAAAATTATTGTGCTATTTGTGGGTTGTGACCATTGAAACAAGAGATTACTAAGTGATAAAGACAATTTATTAGGGAAACTAGGTTTATTTGACATCTTAGTTGAAAATATGGTTCTTATTTTCAAAAAAAAAAATAGAAATGATAGTCTATTTTCAACAAACAATTAAAAAAAACTTAAAGAAAAAAATGGTTCCCCAAAACATTTTAGAGAAAAAATTTCTCAAAAATAGTCTATTTTCAACAAACAATTTACAAAATTTTCTATATTCAAAGAATCTAATTAAAGGTAATAAAGGTGTCAAATCCTTCTTGAATTTCTTTGTTGTTCATTGTGTACCTTTTCTTTCTTTTTCTTTTTTTCTTTTTTTTTTTATATTTTAATTTTAGCAACATCCATGGACACTAATTATTAATTTCAAAAAAAAAAAATACACCAAAATGAAAATAATGAACGTTTTCAAAATTTTTAATGTATTTTCCAAGAACAAAGAAAATGGGGGGAAAAAAAAAAAACCAAACAAGCAGTGAGTTACACCCTCTTCACATGTGTTTGAGGCCAGCCCATTGAAATTAATATCCGGGCCGTAGCCCACTTTCGCGCTTTGTGAACCATCTTAATGGGCCTTTCTACTGCTTGCGAGCACTGGACTGTTTATAATCAAACACGTCAAACAACTGAAAACTTTAATAGGCTGGATTGGGTCAAACGATATTGAAAAACGAAGATTAATGGTCTGGGTTGGGCCTATCTGTCTAGATTTGTTCAACAGATTTACATCCGGGCCGTAGCCCACTTTGGCGCTTTGTGAACCATCTTAATGGGCCTTTCTACTGCTTGCGAGCACTGGTGCTGAATTGGGCCAAACGAAATTGAAAAACGAACACTCATGGTCTGGGTTGGGCCTATCTGTCCAGATTTGTTCAACAGATTGGACAAAATTAAAACCAAGGCCCTAAACTATTTTCAACAGATCGGTCAACACCTCTCAGCCTCTACATATATATATATATTTTTTTAAAAAAAAAGAATTTTCCCAAAATAATTTTTTGGTAATATTTTTTTTTGTATTTAAAAAAAATATCATAATTGACTGCATTTTGATTGGCAAACTAATGGGTTGTTCCCTTTTCTAATTTTAATGAACAAAATTTGTTTGCATGTTAAGTACTCGATTAATCTAACTCTAATTTTACAAGTTGGATGCCCAATCTTAGATATGCACTTCCTTTTTTATTTTTTATATGTCAATTAGTAGGAAATAAATTACAAATAGCCTAAAAATTACATCAAACGAGCGGTAATCATATAACAATACTAGATACAAGAAATAGAGACCCATATGAATCCTAGTGAAATGCATAGACTCATCACCAATGAACTAGCCCCGTTTTCTTTCTCTAAACAACTCTAATTGTGCAAGCAATATATATATATATATATTTAATGGATAATTAGTTATGATTTATTTCATTGTAGGATTTGTAAAGAGAAACACAAATGGAGAAAAACTACAAATTCTTTCCCCTTTTTTTTGAAGGGCCTAAGAAAATGAGAAGAAATTATAGCCATTTTTTAAAATTTTAATTTAATTTTGTTCGGTTACCCGTAAAAAAAAAATAGTAAAAAAGTACAAGATACCTCAAACCATTGACATGTCATTTTGATTTTAACTTTTACCATATGTGCACGCTTTTCTTACAACATGTTGTGCAATGTACAATGTACCCACAATTTTGTGGATACAAAGGTTGCTTTGCTGTCCATTTTTGCTATTACGTCTCCCACATATCATACGTACCCTTTAGAAATTGCCTGTGGAATTGTGAAAATTGCAATTCTGACCAATATTTGGTTAACAATTCCAATCAAAGGCTTGATATAGTTTATCTTGCAAATCTGTTAGGTACCTTTATTTATTTATTATTAAAAAAAAAAGGCTATAAATGATGGAATGGCTCAACCAAAATACATAAAAATCACCTTGACTTGTAGGATATGCATAAATATTGGACAGTTTTGGCTGAAAATATACATAATTAATAGCCAAAATTTGACAGAGATATGGAAAGAAAATAAAAGAAATATTCTCTAACATTATAAATGTTTATATATATATATATATTGTGGGGATATATTTTTGAGTATCGATACGTGGCAAGCTGATGCTGACGTGTCAGCCGAGGTGCCACGTGTCAGGGTCATGACGCCAAGGTGATCTCGGTCAAGCCGAGGTTATCTCCGAAGATATCGGAATTCGAGATAAACGGATAAGAGATAAGGGATAAGAGTCCTAGAATAAAAAGGAGACTTAGCCAAGATAAGGATAAAGCTCTTAGGGAGTTTATCTTTATCTCTGAAGGAGTCCAAAGTAAGTACTAAACATAAATCCATAGAAGTCAGGCTTCTATTGGGATTAGGATTGAGGTAACTATAAAAGAGAGGCACCCCCGTGGGTGTAAGGTACGCAATTTTATGCTTTGAGCATTGAGTTTAGCATCATTGATTATCTTTGAGAGATATACTGACTTGATCGTCGGAGTGCCCCCGGATGGTCGAAACCACCGCCAGAATCTTCTCTTTCAGTTGCAGGTTAGCCAGGTGTCATCTATTCTACCAGTATTCTCCAGATGAATACTGAGTCGGGCAGTGTGATCAGAAAATCACCCACACAATTTGGCGCCGTCTGTGGGAACGAAAGGGAAATAAATGGTCAGTAACGGACAGAAAGAAAAGGTTGGGGATCACACTCCTGCTGGGAGTGAGAGACCTATTGACCTTGATATCACAAGAGACGAATGCAATGCAGAAACTCGTGACCAGAATCACGGAGCGAAAGACGTCGGCCAGACTAGCGACGCACCAAAGAAACCTGATCAAAACAGGTACTACAACGAAGACGACCTCTTGGTTTGGAAGGACAGGTGCCTACGGAGGGATGAAAAGGTAAAAGAGATGGCAAACAAATTGGCAGACCTGCAGTCGGTCGTCAATTTCATGATGCAAAATAACGTCATGCAGCTACCATACCCGCTGCACGACACACCGATTCCAGCGGCCAATA